ATTCAATAAAACATCTTTGTAAGTTCTTCTTGCTCCTAGGTGTGGTTGTAACTTAATTGAAAGGTTTAATTTCTTTGAGCTTCCTTTTCCCTGCATTAACGTAATGTAGTCCTTATAGATAAGAACTAAAATTTATTTCTCACTCCATCCCATCACATTGGTGATAGGTTCTACCTTAGCATCATTTATGTCTCTGCTTCCATCTCTTCTCTCTCCTCTAATAGCCACTGAGTCTAGTTTCACCCTCTCTCTCCTCCCCACTTTCTTGCTCCTCCATTCCTTCTCCTCTATGTTAAGCATGCTTGAAACTCAAGTTCGACTTTCCTGTACTTAGCTTGTCTCTATTTTTAAACCAAAAAATAAGGGAGAATAGAGACACTTTACTTCTTCACAAAGGATATCAACTTAATAAAAGTGCATGCATGCAGGGTCCTTCATGTAGAAGAGGAAGGCAAAGGAAGGTGAACGTAGGGGGAACAAGCTGGCTTATGAAGGAGGAAGGCAACTATTTCAAGTCAAAGTCTTTAGAAAGAAAGAAAGCATTAGCTCAAACTTAAGACTCTTCTTCCCAAAAGTTTTGAATGAGATAATAGCATTCCCCTGAAGCAAACAATAGTCTTAAAATCCCATTTTCGTTCAACAAAGAAGTTCAAAAATACCTTTAACGATTGTACTATAATCCACACAAGCAAGCGCATAACAAATGTTGGGTTTGTTGCTAAGGTAGTAAAAAATGGGATAAAGCAAAGCTTCACGTTCGTAGTAATGCTCAATAAAGAAACTCCTAACCCTGTGTTATGTAAATAACACCCACTACACTCATCTACAACCTTCTAGGTACTACTATAAACTCTTAAACTTAAAACCCATTTCTGTGTTTGTGTAGAAGCCAACTTTTTTATGGTTTTCAAAAGGTAAAAGGAAACCTATGCAAGATGCCCTATTAAGAGGTTGTGACTAACACTTATATTTTAAGAGTTCTCTAGGAGGTTTGGAGGAGCTGTCCTAGAAGAAGAAATCAATAATGATGGTCTACAATGCTTTAAGCGTGAGAACTAAAAAACGGATGCATTAGTTGCACAGAGAGGCTTCCTCTTATAGTAGTATAATCTAAATTTTGGTGCTAAAGAAGAAACAAAGTCCATGGAAAAAGGGTTTTTGGCTTGTGAGATCAATCAACATTTCAAAAGGAACACGGGGCAGCTCTATGTTTGCTGTAAGAGAACTCTAGACTTTAGAGATTCGATGAGGCTACTTTTTATAAAAAGATGAGAACATAGGGTAGAGAAAACAAAGAAAGCCACACACCTTGTCTCGTTTTGAGCATTCTTGGTTTCACGACCTTTACTTTAAGACCGTTTTCAAGACCTTCCAAGATCGTTACCCAATGCTCATGTGCTTGAATATGTAGCAAGCAAGACTCTTATTAAAACTAGAAATGAGCATAGGGAAGAGAAATAGGGTTGACTGCTTGGAAGAGAGCTCAAAGGGACAGATGGATAGAGGGAGAGGGAATGAAGGAGAGATAGAGAGGAGACGGCAATGACATCCTTACTTTAAGAACAACATGGATGATGAAGTGGATGGTGAGTTGCAAAAAGAGGGTGAGGAGAGAGAGAGGATTAAAAATATAAAAAAATGTAGGGCCACGAGTAATATTTTATAATTAAAAATATTCAAAATTTTTAAAAGTGGGACCCATACTAATAGGCATAAGGACCAGATAATGTTAAGGTGTTGGAAGAGAAAAGCTTTTACGTTAAGGGGCAAAAATGACCTTAAGTTGAGTTTAGGGTCATTTGTGGCCTTTCATGTATACTTCAGGGACATTTTTAACTATTAACCCTTAATTTTTCTTAGTGGTCCTTTAGTGATATTTTCCCTTAAAAAATCTACAACTAAGTTTTGAATCAACTAAGGTTAGCAAACCGATATTTGGAGAAAGGTCTTTGATTATAACATGATTTATATTTGGATATTTTTTTCCAAAACTTATAAATATCATTATTTAGTTATGGCAAGCCTCTTTCATTCCCCTATTTTCATATTCAATGAATCTTGCTCAAGGTAACACCGCCCTGGTTGTCCTATGTTCAGGTTATCGATCATTGGGTAATGTAATTAGTTAATCAATATAAAACATGATCTAAATTTTCTATAAATTTTATAATATATTATATTTTTTGATAAAATAATATATTAATTTTATAAGTATAGACAAATAGGTAAATATTTCAAATTTCATATGCATGCACGAAAAGATGATAAGCTGAACACGAAGTCAAAAAGCAAAGCGTAGAAGGGTGATACAGATTATGTAGTTCCATGATTTTAAAAAGTATTAAATGCTTTTAACGGATAAACGTGAATGCTGAATGCAAAAGCCACAAAAGATGACTTTGGGAGAAAAAAGCTCGTTTGGACTCTAACTTCTGTTGAAATTTTTATCCTATCCAAACAAGATTTTTTAAGCTTTCTACATCCCAACCTAAGTTTGAGCCTCTTAACTTAGGTTATAGAGTTATCCAAACACACTAAAACATTCCTGGCATAATGGTGTATACAGGATTTTTAGTTATTACTTGTTAGTGTATTTGTTGTTTATCGATAAACATCCTGATATGTTTGCAACCCTTGACTAACAGTGCCATACTATTCAAATTAGATTTTTCAGAGGAAAAATATGAAACAAAGTTAACTTTCTTGTTTGATGACACTACTATTTAATCAATTTGCATTAACTTCAATCTTTTTACTGCTTTGAGTGCTTTCTTTTTTATGTTCTAAATCAGCAGTTTCATAGTTTTTTTGTGCTTTGCGTTAGGATGTATACATAGATTGTTTTCCAGAGATAACCAAATATGTTAGGAGCAAAATCAAGATGCACCAACTTTTCTAATTTCCTTCTATTATTGCAATTTGTTATCAAAGTATCTCTTTGCATAAATTTATTGGTAAGCATCTTGTTTCATGCTCAAAATGTCAGGCTTGGCAATGAATATTATTCCTATGCAATTCATCTCTACTACAAAAGGTCTATGGGACATTCCCCTAAATAGCATTTTTTTTAGTTTCCCTTAGAAAGACATACTCATAAACATCTTCAAGGCTAAAGAGATATGGGTTTTTCTCAAATTTTGAGATGACCACACCTTTGATTTAGGGGTGTTAGGTGTGACATAACTGCTCAGAACGTAAGTTAGCCATAACATAGCAGCCAATATTAATAATGCAATGCTCTATTTCAAATTTGAGGTTGAAATCGAATTGCATTGGTTTGTTTGATGTCCAGTAAAAACAATCTTCATTAATGTAGATGTAATGACCTGGAAATTTAGAAAATTTTAAAATATGCGTTAAACAATTAATTGACCAAGTAAATCAATTATTATAAAGGAAAAAACAAAAGAAAAGAAAATATAATGTAACGATCCTGAAAAATAACAATATTATTACTTATTAATATTTATAATAACACATTATGGCTATGTTTTTATATAATTTTAGAATGGATGCAATAAGGAATTAGTCACGTAGTGGAACTTATGGAAGTTATATTCATTGTCTACTTGCGACTTTTTTTTTTTTTTTAATAAAATCGTGCTAATTGACACAATGAGACATGTTAGCATATAAAAGATTACAACAACCTAGTGGCGGACTATCGAAAATATGAACATAATAATTATTCGGATAAGTTTGATGAAATAATCAGTCTGCACATTTATTAGTCTCCCTGAAAATGTGATCGAATGTGATTGTCCATTCTCACATAATGATATATCTGATTTTATTGATAGTCTCAAAAAGTGGGTGGATAATAGAGAACTCATTGTGGATTAGTGAGAGAAATTTTGTAGAGTCACAATAGACATTAATTTTATCAAACTTATTAGCCCAGCAAATATGAAGACCTTTCAAAGTGCCCATAAGCTCCGCAACTGTATTAGGATTATAACCAAGGTATTTGAAGTAACCTTTGATCCAATTACCTTGATTGTTCCGGATAAAACCACCACATTTAGCTGCATTGTGAATGTTGACTGAGCCATCAGTATCCAACCTAAGTTAGCCTTCATCAGGGATAGTTCATCTAGCTGTAGCTCTATCATCTTTTTGAGATAATAAGTTAATTTTTATCTGAAGGTGTTGATCTCTGAAAATATCCTAAATACTAGTGAAAGCAATGTCTCTGTCTTCAATATCTTCCTCTAAATATATATTTTTGCACCTATCTTTTCATATGTTCCAACACACTTAGGCATAGAGTTTTTGCCAAGAGGTTTTCCTTGCACATGCATTCCCCGCATTATTCTCCACATTTCAAATTATCCAATTCTATAAGGGAAGAGAAAAAAAATTGTTATGTTTAGATTGTTTAATTAATTTTGTCCAAACCTCTTTAAATTCTTTGCAATTTCTTAGTATGTGAATAGCAGAATCTAAAGAGTTGGGCACGTCTTGATACAAGGAGTGCCTTCATTAGAATGTGTGAATTTGGATTGAAGGTGATCCTAAATTGCTTTCCATAAGAAATATTTGATTTTCTTATATGTTGGTCATTTCCTTCTACTTGCAAGTTTTGATATGTAGCCCACTAACCCTCATGGTGCTAACTGTTAGATGCATTTTTATTTCCCTTCTTCTTTTAAAATTATTTTAACCCTCAATAAAAAAATCAATTAAGGACAAGTAAAAAATTTATATCAATTAATAATTATTTATTGTTAAAATTAAAATAAATACTTATTAATTTAAATTAATTTTTTTATTAATAAGTATCAATTTAAATTTTAATAATAATTTATTTTAAATTAATAATAATTTATTTGATTTTTTTTCATCTTCATTTTAACAATTAATCCTTTCGTTGTTTTTTTTTTCCCCTTAAAAAAAAAAAAAAAAGCCCGACGCACGCCGCCAATATTTTTCCTCCCTCCACTCCCGGTTCCAAGTCGCATGTCTGCTTGGGGTGAGAGAGAGCTCGACCTCCTGTTCTCTTATTGCTCCTCCCTCGTTCATTCCATCCGCACTGCTGCTGGACGTTTGGGTCGTGAGATTTTTCCTCTCCTCCCGATTTTACTCCGCTGCGTCTGCTACCGAGAGGGAGGGAGGGAGGGAGAGAGCTCGCGTCGCTTCTGTTCTTTCTCATCGTTCTTCCTCTTCTCGTCGTTGGTGGGTGTGTGAGGAGCGATATCCACCACTGCTGGAGGAATCCGACCAGATCGTGACCTCTTCTTCCTCCCCTGGTAGCGCCATCAGATTCTTCTTCCTCTTCTTCTGCTCTGTCCGATGCTGTGCTCTACTGGTGAGAATGATGGAGCTGCGATTTCTTCTTTTCGCTTCTCCTTTCCTCCGTTGGTGAGTTTTGTCAATCTCCCTTCTCTCTTTCACGTCTGATTTGTGTCGGTATTGTGTTTTGAGGCGCTAAAATCTTGATTCTCCCTTTTGTGTGAGCTGCGGAGCTTGATTGAGGAAGTGTATGGTGTTTGAACAAGTCTAACTTGACAACTGGGAAGCTCACTTAGGTAGATAATTGTGCTTTAAATATTTTGGTTATTGTAAGAGGACAATGCGTTTAAATGTTGTTCTTTTTGAGATTTAATTTGATTTTTGATATGAATGAAATTTGGGAAATTAGGTAAATTTAAATATTGATATTGGAAATTGTTGGGCATGAGAGTTAAGGATTGAAAACCTTGATTGAATGAATTGGTAATTGATGCATATAAGTTGTTTGTTAAAATGGGTAGAAGAGGAATTTGATCGGAATGGGCAATCAAGTATATTCATTGTACTAAGAACAAGAGTTTGAACTTTATTTGTTCAATCTCTTTGTTGAAACTTTTAAAGGTTTAGAATTCCTTGAATGTGTGTGTGTGTGTGTGTGTGTGTGTGTATTTTGTGGTGGAAAGCTTGGGTTACAAAAATGAATCTTGAAGCATGTAAGAAAAGGGGGTGATGAGATTTTCTTTTATACTTAATGGATTGTTATTTGGTGTGTGTGTATATATATATATATTATTTGATTAAATTCAATGTTGCTTTCTACATGTGGCAAGTTGACATTTAGCTATTTTCTTTTGAATTTGTCATGGATTGGGGGGCCCCATTGGGTTGTTGAATATTAGCTTTAGATAATTTAAAGAGTTTGGGTTGATACTCAGATAAAGTGTAGATATGAATTTATTAATGATTTGTAATTAGAGAATTCTAAAAAAAAAAAACAATGAAATATTGTGAGTTTTATAAAGCGTATTGAAAAAAAATGACAATTATACTGCTTTTGGCATTAGGGGATTAAGGAGTGGCCAATATTGCAAAAGCGACTAACTGGGAGTATGTTATGTACTTGGGAACACATTAGATAAGTCTAGAGACCCAATTAACCTGCTAACAAAATCTTTTTGTCAAAATATTATTTTCGTTTTTATTTTGTTGTTAATAAACCACCTCTATTAATAGATATCTCTTTTATTGGATATTTTGGTAAAATGAATTATTTTGGTTTGTGAAATTATATGATGCTGGATGGATAAAATGTTTATAAAAGTTTAAATAATTTTATTTGATGAAGTCATGCATGAAATTTGGTGATGAGATTATGGAATGTTAGTGTGAATTTTCATGCACGTTTGGATTTTGGAAATTGATTTTTAAGAAGGCTATATGTAGAACACTGGTTGCTAACAATAGTTTTGTAGTATACCATGGTCAATAACTAGCTAGTTTGATTTTCATGAACACTGTTTTCATGTTTGTTGTTAGTGGATTTTGCACCAGCATATGCTTTCAAGGCTTCAAGTTACCTTTGGTTATTTAACCTCATGGATCGTGTGTCCATTTTATCTTCATAGTGTCCATGTGTGTTTGGTTATTTACTCTCGTGGATTGTGTGTCCACATTTATCTTCATGGTGTCCATGTGTATTTAGATATTTACTTTCGTAAATTGTGTGTCCATGTTTTTAACCCATTTATCTTCATTCTTTTAATTTTTATTATTGGAAAATTATTCACCAGAATGATATTTTTGGTCTCTAATAATATGTAGCTGGCCTTGTGCTTCCAGTTGAACATTGTGGGGCTTATTGCCAATTTGATGTTGAAGCGTTATTTTAGTTAATCTTCATTTGTTGAAAAACCAAAATTTATGTATTACATTTTGTAAGTTAAGTTTCAAGTGCTCCATGTAGGCTATAGTCAGGGTTCTTACCTTCTCTAGTGATGTTGTATGACTGTTGATATGGAGCTGGGCTCCTTTTTGATTGAATTGAGTTGACTCTGTTGTTATAGAATTTTTTCTTTGGAGGTCCATTTATGGGGAAGATTTTATCAAAATTTCTATAGGAAGTTTGTGACCTTGTAAATGGAAAAAAGATAATGTTGATAGGATCCTATTATGTATGATAAATATGATTGTGACTAAAATTAGATGTTTCCAAAATTTAAGGGATGTGGGTTTTTACATATATCCTATGCCGGTCACACCTTAAACTTTTGGGTGTTACACTAGAGTTTTCCCTCGATTGGAATTATGAAATTGCTCCCTTTAATTGATACTCTAAAGCACATTGGCTAAGATTTTGTATTTATTTTCAGAGTTTGAAGGGGATGAGGATACTTTCCACAGTTCAAAGATTTTTTCCATCATTACCTCAACTGTAATTCTTAGCCACTTGTCACTTCCTTTTGTTGTCTCAAGCATGGAAAGAACTTGTGCAGCTTCTGCCATGAAATGGAGTATTCAACTTGAAAAGGGTCTCCGTTCTAAGAAAATTGGTAAAAGAAATGAACTTTCATTGATACGAGCTAACTCTTTGGATTAACCTCATTTCAGATCTTGTTCTAGTTTGTTAGTACATTGCAATTGGATGCGCTGCTATAATATTGTTGTTCACTTTGGTTATTTAAAGAGATTCTTTGTCCAGGTGGATCTATTGAAGCCATACTACGATTTGGGCCTCAGCTTCAACAATGGAGTAGAGAGCCTGAATCCAATATAGCTGCCAATAGCATGTTTGATTTGGTGGCAGGTGAAGATAGGCTGTTTGCCAATGCCATCCTCTTGCGGCTAGCTGATGTATTTGCATCTGGTGACAAAGAGACCAGGCTGGCTATTGTTAGGGTTTTCTTATCTGAGCTAAAGCATCGTGGAAAGATGAAGCGCAAACAATATAAGGGGTTGCTGTCAAAGGCCAGAGTCCCAAACCACTTGGAGTTGTTGAGAAGAGTGAAATCTGTTTTTGAGAGTGGCACTGAGGAGTCAAAGGCATTGGCTCTGGTTCTGTTTGGTTGTTGGGCTGATTTTTCTCAAGACAATGCTCATATACGCTACTTAATACTTTCCAGTCTGGTTTCTCCTCATGCTTTGTTGGTAAGATGATCTATCTCAACGTTTCTCTTGTCCTGGATCCCTAATTTTCATGATGGCATCTGCCTAGTCATATCTTTTGCTTTTGTACCAAAATCTGATATGTACTGCTTGGTGCATCAAGCTGTCTGTGTATATTTGCAGTTCAACTAGGGGATACTAGAATATGATCATTTGATATATTTAATTCTTACTACCATGTTAAAAACATACAATTTACAATACTATGGATTAACACAATTTGCTTTATTGATTAGCTGTTGCGATCTTGTTTACATATTAAACATTGGATCTGATTTCTACAGGTGAAAGCATCTTTATTTGCTGCAGGATGCTTTTGTGAAATATCAGATGATTTTGCATCTATCACGTTAGAGATGCTGGTTAATCTGGTGACTTCATCTGAGATATCCTTACCTATCAAGTTAGATGCTGCTCGAGTTTTTGGAAAATTCAGGTGCTCATATTCAGTTGCGAATAAAGCGTATAAGGTCATTGACTTATTTTTTATGTGGTATCCAAGACACTTTGTTTTGTTGGCATACACTTCCATTTTCTTTTAAGTTTGTTTTTCTGCAGTTTTTAGGTTCCCCCCTTCTTTTTCAGCTGTCACATGTTGTGCTGCTACTAGTGCCTGTCTCCATATATGCTTGTGTCTGTCTGTCTGCGCTATATATTTTCTATTTTCTTTGGCCAGGGGTGATGGTGATGGAAGCTAAAATGAGGAATGGACTGAGAGGGTGGCAGCAGATAAATTGATTAGGAAAAGCATAGAGCATATTGAGTATTTATGGAATTTTGAAGAGAATAATATTTTCTTATTCACATATTGAGATGTACAAACTGGTCCTATATATATATACAATATGAGAGAGAAAACCTAATAAATAATAATAAAGCCTAATGAATAATACTAATAAATGCTAGTTATTAACAATAATAATGTAAATATTCCCATACTCCCCCTCAAGTTGGATCATAAATACTAATCATTTCCAACTTGCTTATACAACTCTCAAAGGCAGGCTTAGGTAGTCCCTTGGTCAGTACATCCGTAGCCTGTAACTTTGTAGGTAGGTATGTCAAGCATACAGTACCTTCCTCTACATTCTTTCTGATAAAATCTCTATCCATTTCAACATGTTTAGATCTCTCATACTGTATAGGATTCAATGCCATGCTTATGGCAGCCTTATTATCACAATACAACTTCATTGGTGTATCAATTCTGACCTGTATTTCTTCCATGACCCTTCTTATCCAGAGTTCTTCTGTAATTCCTTGAGCTAATGCTCTTAATTCTGATTCAGCATTGCTTCTAGATACAACTCTTTTGACTGTTCTAACTTACTAAGTTTCCCCACACAAACGAGCAATAGCTAGAGGTGCATTTACTGTCCCCATTGGCCCCCCTAATCTGCATCTATATAAATTTCAATTGTTCTCTAATCATACTTCTTAAATAGCAATTCCTTACTAGGTGTACCCTTAAGGCATCTAAGAATCCTGTATATGGCTTCCAAGTATTTCTTCCTTGGATCACATATGTATTGACTTGCTACACTAACAGCAAAAGTAATATCTAGCCTTGTATGGGATAGATAAATCAGCTTCCCAACTAGTCTATAATATCTATCTTTATCAACAGTTTCTTCTTTTTCCTTGTCTTCTTCTTCAACCTCATCATTAGAGTTGTCTTCTCCTTTTGATTCCTCCTTACTATTTTTCTCAGACTTCTTGTTTCTCGAGACCACAATAGGAGTTTCCTTAGGTTTACAACCTAACATGTGAGTTTCCTTCTAAAGATCAAGTACATACTTCCTTTGAGATGCATATATGCCTTGTTTTGACCTTGCAACTTCCATTCCAAGAAAATATTTCAAGTTCCCAAGATCCTTGACTTCAAATTCCTTGCCTAAGACAGTCTTTATCCTAGCTATTTCCTCAATGTGATTATTTGTAGGAATTATATCATCTACATATACAATACGGATGCACTTCTTGGCTCCCTTAGCCTTAACAAACATCATATGATCTAATAATCCTTGTTTGTAGCCTTCTGACTTCAGAACCTTTGAGAATCTATCAAACCACGCTCTAGGTGGCTATTTCAAACCATATAGGGATTTCTTCAGATGGCATACTTTGTCACTTCTGCCTTTATCAAACCCTGGAGGTAAAGTCATGTAGACTTCTTCCTTCAATTCTCTATTTAGAAAGGCATTCTTAATATTTGGTTGATGGAGTGGTCATTCATGGTTGGCTACTACTGACAATAGAATTCTGATAGTGTTTAGTTTTGTCACTGGTGCAAATGTCTCTTTGTAGTCTATACCATATCTCTGGGTGAAACCTCTTGCTACTAATTGTGCCTTTAACTTGTCAAGTGTGCTATCAGCATTATACTTTGGGGTAAATACCTACTTGCAACTTACCAATTTGTTACCTCCAGGTCTTTTAATAATTTCCTATGTTCCATTTTTTTTTCAAAGTTCTTATTTCCTCTATAACTGTGTTTTTATATTCTGGTATTCCCAGTACCTCTTGAATGTTGTTAGGAACAACAACTTTATCCAAATTAGTGATGAAAGCTCGGTAACTTGGGTAGAGCCTTGTAGGATACATGTTTCTGAATTGAATGCAAAGTACAAGATTGAGGTTGTTTCCGGAGGGCAATAGGTAGAGCAAGATCAACAAATTCACTTCCTTGTTTTGAATTATTTGGCTTACTGGATAGATTTGTCCTTGGTACACCAGCTTCAAGAACTACCTCTAGTTCCAACTCTCTTGGTTCCTCAGGTATAAGTTGCTCACTATCTTTGGATTTCTTCTTTCGAGTGTAAGCCATTAACTCTCCCTTTTATAGTCTTTCTGCATCTCCCTTTGTTTTATTGTTTTCCTTAAACTTTGGCATGAGAAAAGAGGTTGGTGAGGGTGATGGTTTTGGTACAGGAGGTAATCGCTCAAGAAATACATATTCTATGTTAGGTTCTGGTTCACAAGTTTGAGATTCACTTTTGTTCTCCCCTTGAATTAAGAATTGGGATAGAATGAAATAACTTTATGAAAGGTGACATCAAGACTAACAAATGTGTGTTTATGATAGGTCAAAACATTTGTATTCTTTCTGGAGAGGAGAATAGCCAAGGAGGCTTGAGGTTCAAGTTTGGTGCTTTGGTGGTTATGGATAAAGGCTATGCAACCAAACACATGAAGCAAAAGATTGGTTTCAATATGAGATGTGGAGAAAATACTTTGCAACTTGTGGAGATGAGTTTCAAAGGACAAGACTCGATAAGGCATACGGTTGATAAGGTAGTCTGCGGTCAAAATGGCATCCTGCAAATAAAATTTAGGCACATGGTAGGTAAACATGAGTGCTCTAGCAGCGTCAAGAATATGGCAATCTTTCCTCCCTACAACCCCATTTTGTTGGGGCATATGGGCACAAGAATTGGTATGCATGATACCATGCAATCGGAGAAAGGTATTCAAAGATTGGTTAAAGTACTTGGTGCTATTGTTGGTGTGTGAAACTTGGATGGTGGTATTGAACTAAAATTTGATCATGTTGGAGAAATTTATGAACATGGATGTAGCCTTAAACTTGTTTCGTAAAAATAAACCCAATAAACTCCAGTGTGGTCATCAGTAAAGAAAATGAACCATGTCGCTTTAGTATGCTTCGGTGTACGAGATGGTCCCTGCAAATCACTATGAATGATTGTGAAAGTTTTGGTGGTTGTGTATTTTGCTCTGGGAAAGGATGTTCTATGGTGTTTGGCAAGCTCACACTTCACAATGAATGTCATTAATATTGAAGTTAGGACATAAAGGTGGGAACAATCGATGAAGGTAATGAAAATTAAGATGATCCATCCTCTTATGCCACAACATAAAATCATTAACTTTAGTGGTAGATGCAGAATTACCAAAAATTGAGGAGTTACCTACTTGGGTGCAGACTTTGAAATAGTAAAGCCTTTCATACTCGTTAGCACTTTCAATTGTCACCCTAGATGGTAGGTCCTGAAACACACAATGGGATGGGAGAAATTTAGTATAACAATTTGACTGTTTGGTCAATTGGCTAATTGAGAATAAATTGGAATCAAGCTTAGACACACGAAATACAGATTCCAACACGATAGAATTTGAAATCTGAATACTTCCTTTTCCCGCTACAGGTGTTTATGAGCCATATGCAATCTTAACTTTAATATTCTCAACACACAGGGTGTAAGTGGTAAGTAATTCATGACAATTAGTCATGTGGTTGAAGGCTCCATAGTCAACAATCCATATTATTTTATTATTCGACATTGTTAAAGCTTGAAGGAAGGAACCTTTTTTCACCACTGATGCAATAGGTGTAGTTTTGGCAACTTTTGGTATGAGACATAGGAATATTACTACTACTATAATGTTAGACATAAATAGACTCCCATGCTTGAGACTAATTAGACATCATAAAACCATTAAAATAGAGTGGCAGTGCAGAACATCAAGTAAAAATGCATGAGTCTGTGAATGAAGGTTGCCCAGACATAGGACATACTAGTATCTAGCCGGAATCGGCAAGTCATTGCTGGAGGAAGTCATCGGAGCTGCATCAGACTATGCATGCTCCCCCACATGCCGTTAAAGCTTCTCTGGCAGTAAATATTGTTGGGGCGTGTGTGACTTACACACGCCATTGTTGGTCGTGGTGTTCCTAGGTTTGGTTGATTGGAGCCTCCTCTTCCTCATGGGGCTGGCGGTGAAGGTCAATAATGCCTCCAGCAGCACTCATATGAATACTCCAAGGTATTGTAAAGGATGCATATATGATCCATGACTTGGAACCCTAAATAATTATTTCTGGAATTTCATTAGCATAGCTCAAATACCATGTGGAATTTTGAAGAGAATAATATTTCTTATTTGCACATTTAGATGTACAAACTGGTGCTATATATATAGAACAAGAGAGAGAAAACTTAATAAATAATAATAAAGCCTAATCAATAATACTAAAAAATGCTAATTATTAATATTCCCACAGTATACATAAGTCTTCATTTTAGTCTTTTAATTTATGAACTTTTTTCAATCTTCTAACTTTAATATTGTTAGTTTCATTAACAAATAAAACTGATTAGAATTCTAAACATCGACAAGACATTCTTAAGTGTTGATATATTAAGTTCATTTTTTTTTTAACTTTGATTGGTAAAAAAAAAAAAAATCACTTGAGGTGAACAATATTAGGATTAAAGGATTGAAAAGATATTTTTTCCTATTAAGTGGCCAAATTGAAATCTTATGTAAAACTAGAGGACCAAATGTACACTTTTCCCTTGAGTATTTAAAGCTGGTTTCTAGGCATTAGTTTCTCCACTCTTCCTCATCTGGCTTGCTATGCAAACAGATGATTTATATGTAAACACACGTCCCCTTGCTCACTAGAATTTATGTATGCAAAAAATTAGTTTTCTTACTACGTTGCCTTTGTGAGTGTTGGTTTCATGTTCTGTTTAAATTTTTAAAAATTTGAAAACACAGGCAGAATAGACATATAATGCATGATTATTTCCCTTCCCTCGTAAATTTTACCCAATAACATTGAATTCTTTCCTTATCTCATACCGGGATTTTCTAAATCTTCATTTTTCTAAACTATGTAGATGAACTAGTACTTGTAATTGGTTCTTATTTTGCTGCTGCAATGAATATGATTGTTTTGGATGAAAATAAAGAAAATGATGCCGCCTTGTTAACAAATAAAAAATGCAGAAATATAGCAAAAAAAGAAACACCTGACAGGTCTAGGGAAAATACTAAGGTCTAATATTAATGTTCCAAAAGACTAAATCAATGTTACAAGGCACTCCACTGATTCAGAACAAACTCTATTCCCTATTACAACCAAAGTACTCAAACAGCAATTAAGAGACAAGAACAATAAGAACACTGCAATGCTAACTAAGCATTCCCTCTGGTTTCAAGAGCCAATCTCTCCTCTCTCAAAATAAAAAAAAAAACTATCCTACTCTCCAAAGATGCTTGTGACTGCTATAACCCTAAAGCACCTTGCACAGTCTCCAGCATAATTTTCTTCTAAGACAGACCAAAAACCCCCTACGTCAGCACTAAATCTATATAGCTTTCCTCTTAAGAGAAAGAATAGCAAAGTCAACATTCAGCCCCTCCTAAAGGTGCTTTTCCATTTCCTTGTATTTTCCTATTTCTCCTCTTATAGGTCTGTAGCTTCCTATTTCTCCTCTTGTATGTTTGTGCAGCAAAAGAGATTCCGTCAGAAAACATATTTGTGTTTGCATCATATGGGTCTTTTACTAGAAACCATATTTCATGGTCCTTGCGTTCAATTTTAGGCTGTGTGTTAACTTCAGTATACAGAGTGCTGGCTGTTAATATGTACCTTGAACTTCTGATGGTTGTATATTTTCTTTTCCTGTGGCCATTTTTCTCAAAGTTTTTGTTAGTGGATTTCTGGAATTGATTTTTTTCTTTATTTATTGCAGACAGGTCTAGAGTTGATATTGAATTCTTCAGATGAAGAATTTTTGGTAGTGATGTTTCTCTCTCTCTCAAAATTGGCTTCCATGTCAACATTACTCATCTCTGAACAGGTGAGGTGATTGCCTGTCTTTCTTTTTGTTTTTGTTTTTGTATTTTGTGGGGGAGGGGTGTTGACTGCCGTTTTGAGTCCGCTATATAATTTCCTAGTTGAGTTGGCTGGATAAAGGGACCCGCCTAATTTGTTGTCTTAACTTAATCCTTCTTGCTTTGTACTCATCTTTTTGAGGATTCACTCATGTTGGTTATTTAATCTCTCAACTGGTAGGAAGTTTGGTACTTTTATGTTTAGCATTGTACCACTTGCTTATCTATGCAATAAGTTGTAGCTACCTTCTTATAGCATTCACTTTCATGTTCCCCTTTTAATATTATGTTATTTAACATATGGATTCAGGTCAGACTTCTGCTTTCATTTCTCAACCAAGAAAGAACTTCGCATATACAGGAAACAGCTTTAAAATGCTTGAAATTCCTAGTCAAAAAAGGACCTTACGAACATTCTGTTAATTCAGATCTAATCCATAGATTACTTTGCATGCTGGAGGAACCTAAAGTCTCTTCAGCCATGCATTGTGAAGCTCTACAGGTTTTACATAAGGTTTGGCTCGAGTACCATGCAAAATGGAGGTTTCATTCTATATTACTGGTTTTGAAGTGCTTTGACCTGCTTAGGATGATTTGCAGGTACTGATGTTTATTCCACCTTTACCTTTTGCGGAACTTCATGAATTTGTCAAGCTGGTTACTGTTGTAGAGAATGTAATACAGCATTCGGATTTGATGAAGAGCTATTTGGCTATCCATATTTTGGCAGATTTATCTTGTAAGTTTGTGGGAGACACAAGTGCTGAAAATGGTGTCTTTTATTCTTCTTTGCCTTCGCAGGTGGTCTCACTAATCAATGATCAGATCAAGCTTATAGTTATGTCATTATTGGAAGCCTGTCAAAATTATTCAAAGCCGTTTCAAAATCTTCAAACTCTGCTAAATATTCTTCTATCTATTATAAGAAAGAATCACCGTCTGGTTGTCTTGGTACTTGATAACATAACTTCAACAATTGAATTTTTTGTGACTGTCAAAACTACTAGTCATGTGACAGCATCGACTCAGGTGGCTGTGAAATTTGATCGGAAAGAGATCACCAACGTAGTTTCGAATTTCTTTTGCAAAATGTACAGATTTCTAGTGGCCTTTCTTGAAATTCTTATTAAAGTCGGTTCCATTGATACTGAGGTAATGAGCAGAATCCAGATTTTGGCTGAATTTGTGTGTCAATGTGGTTTACTTGATTGCTATACATCCACAATGTATTGTCTACTGTTACACAATCAACATGTTTGGGGTTGTCTGCTTCATCAGGATAATGGAATGCGTGATCCTTATAACATGAGTATATATCCTCATAGTTGTCCTGTTAACTGTAAAATTGATACACTACAGTTTGTGAACCACTTTTTGACAGAAAGAGATGATTGGACTGCTTATAGGATTGGAACATATGCAGCATGCCAAGGAGAACTGCGTTTCTCTTCTTCCATATTCAGTAAGCTGATTCAGAAGGTTAAATCTTATTCCTGCCGTAACTGGTTAAAAACACTTTTCCAATTCACTCAGTCTGAGGGAGTAATCCAGCTTCTTAATTTACCAAAACAAGGATTCACTTTAGTGGAAGAATTGGAGAATAATAAATATCTTTTGAATTCTTGTGATTTCTTGGATGAGAAGAATCCAAGGGATGCTGGAAATGTCAATGATCATCATTACAGTTTTAAGCTAGCTGCTGCTCATAGGGCACTTTGCTCTTCCATAGGACTTTTAGAAGCAGCTGTCTCAAGTTCTCAGGCATTCAGCTTCCAGAGGTGGTATTTATCCTTGAGAGCTAGATTTTTGGCAAATGTGGTGGGCATACTTAAAGTTGTGAGACGTCTGTTGAATATAGATTGGTGCAATCAAGTAAATGTTGAGGGAGATGTTCTGTCGGGATGTCTGAAGTCTTTTGAAGATATTTCTCACATTTCTCTTCATTTTTATAGGCTTGCAGAGGAGTTTGATCTGATTGGAACATCTTTTGTTGAGATGGACAGTGAGAGTTCTGCAGTTTTGGCAGCACTTTCTCTGAGTTGTTCGCTATTGGCATTTGTTTCTGGTTTTGCAGTTTTTGTTATAAAACAGCTATCTCATGAACACTTCATGGTTGATAAAAACTCTTGCAACCTATTACTGGCCTTGGCAATGCAAAATTTAGCAGGCTGGCTGTGGCATATGGATCATCAAACTAACACAAAATTCTTATCGCTTTTGAATTTTATTGACTGGCGCACAAACTCTTTTCACCTGCAGCCTAGACATCAAACTTGCAATGTTGGTTTTGCAAGTAGAGAGTTTCTCAATGTTTGTAGTAATGCGGTCTCTGAGGCTGTCTGCTTGAAAGATAAAATAAGCAAGAAGCATACTGAAATAGCTCCATCCGAAGTTTCCAAGAATGTATCACTACTGATATTAGATACTATTACAAGATGGATCCGCATTCCTCCTCAGATACCCAAGTATTTCTTTAAAGTGAGGTATGTTTTTCCCTAAGATGCATTTACTAACATTAACGTTTAGCGGTTTCAAATTATGGAGCATGGGTGATTACTGATATTGGTAATTTCCAACGAGTCAATGACCATCTTAAGTCAATATCTTATATATGGTCTTTTCTTGTTTTCTTTGCCAAGTTAAAGAGTTAATTATTTAATTATCACGTTACATTGGTCAGAGATTTTAGCTGTAAACTTTAGGTCTATTTTGAGGTTTCTCAGCAAAATTTTCTTCATCACTTATAGTCAATAACTCTTCCTCTCTGTGATCTATCTTCATTTTAATGTTCAAGTTCATCATGCATTATTTTCCGAGTATAGCGCGTATCTTGATGTTCTTTTTGCATGATTTCTCCAGGCAAGTTATTGGATCGGAGCTGTTTGTCCACAACGACGGCATAAAAATTGGCGCTGGTATATCTGCTTTTCCAGGCTCCATTCTATCACTTAACATTTGTCTTCAACTGAAGAACTTGCCACCAAATCTTCATGTTCGGCCGACAAAGTTGTACTGCATCCTCTACTGTCCGGTGTCCTGCCATATGCTGGCGCCATGTGGACAGGCACCGGAGCGACTGTTATCAGGATATGAAGCTTGGAAAGATGAAGAGATTGTTGAGCTGAACAAGAAATTGTATAGCCATGTTTCGGACCGTGTAGCAAATAAAGGCATAAGACTTGGAAAGCGTGGTAGAGATGATGGAAATAAGAACAGGGCTGCAGAAACATTTTTGGAATTTGTGCCTAACCAGAAAGGTCAGGGATTCTCAAGCTGCCTACTTGATATATCTGATTTTCCTGTGGGTTCTTATAGAATCAAATGGCATAGTTGTTTGTTGGATAGTACAGATTCCTACTGGAGCCTCCTTCCCTTGAATATGGGACCTATAATCACTGTGCATGCATAAATTTATTGATAGGTAATTATTACTTTTTTTTTTTTATCGAGTTCAAACATCTAATACACATGCTTAAAAAATTAAAATTATGTTTTACCATACGTGTTTGTATGTCTGCATGATAAGAGCTCTTCAACATTCAACCACTATGAAAGGGCTGTCTAATGATAGGATCCTGAAAGGGATTGCTGTATGTGCAAACAAGAGAGACATGTTTGTTGCATAAAGTAATGTTTGGGCTTGTTTAGTTTTTATTTTCATTTTTTGTTTTTAAAAACTGTTTTGTATTTTGTAATACAATTTTTAAAATCATTTTTAAAATAAAATAAAATGAAAATTTGTTTGGTTATATCAATTAAAAAACTTTAGAATTAAAAAATAAACTGATAATGATGGTTATAGGTAGTTAATAATGATGATTAATAATAAAAATTGATTAAAGTAATTATAATTTTCAATAATTAAATGCAGGATATTTTAGAAACAAGAAAAATGAAAACAACTTAAACTTGTTTCAATTTTTTGTTTTTAGAAAGAAAAATTGAAAATAGTTTTAGAAACAACTAATCAAAAACACTGATTCAAACAAATTTTTAATTTTTTTATTTTTAACAACAAAACGGTTTTTAAAAACAAAAAACAGTTGGGACTTTAGATTTTGCTTGATCCCATCTATTACAAGCTATATCAATTTATTACTTCTGTTTCAAATTATAATACTTTTAAATAAAATTACATAATAAAACTCATTGAATATGTTTTACAAATTTATTTTTTAAAAGAAAAGGACAAAATTTTGAAAATTCCTTTTGTTTAATAGTCATTTATGAAAAAAATATTGAAGAGAAAACAATGGAAGAGTAATATTGGAAATGATTGCTAATGAAATTTTATTTTTGTCAAAATACATTATAATTTAGAACAGAGTGAGTAGTTATTAATTGTTAATCCTTTTTCATAATCATAATGCCAAGTGTAATGTGAACTACAAGCAATGCTAATTAGTTGGAGTACAAAAGAAACGCTGTTCGGCCATGAGAGTTGCACAAGAATTTAAAGCTCTTTCTCGCAAACTATATGGTGTGCATGGCAAGTTACAAGAGAAAAGTTTAGTAATTAAGCTTCAAATCCGCTTAATGTGCTGAAAAAATAGAAAATGAAAATATTTTCTAATTCTGTTAAATTATATAATTTGCCAAATTAAAAAAATTATTTGCTCTTTCAAAAAATAAATTAAAAAATTTTACTTTTAATTTCAAATTTTTGGTGAATAATATGGTCCTCTTTTAAGTTTTAATAATTTAAAAAATGCAAGAGACGTTTAATCAATTTTAATAAATTTATATGAAGTTTTACTATTTTGGTTAAGCGAATGTTTATGGAAGTTTAAAGCATTAGAGGAAGGAGACCTGGCTCCGGCAATTCTTAAAAACATTTCAAAACCAAGATATATATATATATATAAAAGGGAAGATTACTCCTACCCCCCACACAACACCACAAACAAGGGGTGTTCATGGGACGGGACTGAGACATCTTTGTCCTATATCCCATCTCGAAAAAAAGATCAGGACTGAATTTTGATCTCGTGCCCTGTTCTGTCTCGAAAGTCGTATCGTCTCGTTAAGAGTTGGGATGAAACTGGGACAAGATCAGGATGTCTTGCCGTCCCGATATATCAGATAATATTGAAGAAAGATATGGATGATAGCGTTTATTAAAATTTTAAATCATATAATTTATTAAGTTTAAAATTAAAATAACACAAGTACATAAATCACAATAATTTAAAATTAATTATTGAATTGCATTAATCACAACTATACATTATAATAGCAAATATAAGTGATCTTTAGGCTATAAAAGTAACAACAACAGGCAAGTCAAACATAATATCAAATCATTGTTCTTCTACTTTAGTGGAGATGTATTAAGCTAATTATTCTTCTGAAAATAAAGCAAGAAATAAGATATAAATAAAAGTTATTAAATATATAGATATAAGAATAAATTATATTAATATAATTAATATATTATAAAGAAAGATATTGTCATGTTTATTTTACGTCATTAAAATTATCACTATAAAAAAATGTAGTTTTAAATAAGAATTGTAGGTATTGAAATTATAATTGATATAATTAATAGAAGTATAAATTATATTAATATAATTAATATATTTAAAATAAAAAATAATATATATTATATATATATATTCGGGATGGGACGGGACGTCTCGATGGTAATCCTGTGTCCCATCCCGTCCCGATCCCTTTCCTATCTCGTCCCGTAAAGTCTCGTCACGATTATTTTCAGGCCAGGATAAGATTCGTCCTGATATGATTAAGACAATATCGGATCAATTGGGACGGGTTCAAGTTGAACACCCCTACCACAAACTATAGGTGCTCATGGGACAAGACAACAAACAAAGCATCAAAAAGAAATCTGGATAATTATATTTATTAAATTATATAACTTGTTAAATCAAAAACCAAATGGGACAAGTATATAAATTTAATCATTGACTTATATAATAACTGCAATTTAAAGTAAAAGAAATAAACTCACAATAACTACATCTTAAAGTCAAGTATACAATAACCACTAATGACCTCCAAAATGCAAAGACTATAACAATAATAAAATTATTGAGTTACATAACTTAAACAAGCAAATGGTTATGTTAAAAGAATATAAAATAAATAAACACAAAAAATATAAATTTTGACTCTAACTAAATAAATAAAGTATTAAATATTAATAAAAGAAAATAAAAAAACATATAAAAATACTTTTGTGATGCGATATGATGCCTTGGTGGTGATCTTGGCCTAGTCCTGCCTTTAACATTTTTGTACCTTATTTTTTTGGAGACAGAACAGACTTGTCCCAATATAATCGAGAAAAAACCAACCTAATTGGGATAGGACAAACATGAACTCCCCCCCCAACCTCCTAAAATGTAATGTCCGCCTTGACATTACCAAGACAACACTTACACATTGTTGTGGTAACTAGGATTAAATAAAATCCTCTAAAGAAGTTACCACAACTCAAGGGTTTAAAGATAATTAATTTAAAATATTGGGATCCCAAGAAAAACTCTTTTCTAAAATATTATTTGAGCTCAAACCATGGTTAAAAATTAATTAAGAGAAAATATGAAAGCATGGCAACAAACCACATCAAAACTAAGCTAAAAATGCCATTCTTCTATAAATTCTGCTCTGTCCGTCGAGGTAGATGGCATAGAGGTACAAGTTTCTTGAAGGCCTAAAGTGCCGCGGTGCAACAACCACACGTCGTGGCGCACACCTATTATCATGATAGCAATCCCCTAATGCGCCACGGCGCAACAACCACGCACTGCAGCGCGCACTTACTGTCATGATAGTAGATTGCTATCATTACAATCCTTTGAACTTTTGGAGCACACCATTTTGTCATCCGACGTTCAATTCGAGTGGTTCAAGTGTCCATACAAAACTCTTTGAGTCCTTTAGCCAATGGCACTGGTTTCACACTCAAATAATCATCCATTTAAAAGATGAACACCCAAACTCAAAATGGTTCGTTTTTACAATAAACCACACACCAAGGTGTCCAACTCACAATATCAAATGTCATTAGCCCCAGAGATACCTTGACCACCTCAAATGGACCACACACCACAAAAAATTCAATCATAACACACAATTAAGCATTCACATTCAAAATGACAATTGAAACCCCAATTCACAACAATATAAAGGGGTGGATAAATTCTAACACATGTCACTTGGTCATTTTATCGTATAGTGATAGGAATTTAGTCGCTTATCCTCAAAATTAAACTAAAGATAATCCTAATACAATATAGGACCAACCCTAGATCATCTTCCAAGGAATGGTTTTAAGTCTAATTGAAAGTTATCTAGTAAAATAAATCGACCAAAGTTTGTAGGAATTTAGTTACCTAGCTAATTATCTAAACTAATTACCTAATGTGCAAGTAATTAAAATGCTAGTGAAAGTGAGTGAAATGAACTTTCCTTTTCACAATAATGGAACCCTAGAGATTAGTTGATTTTGAACTCATTATCTTCTTATGATTAGGCTAAATTAAGCTTTCCTTTCCTCTTGACTAAAGCTGTCATGACTTAAGAAAATTATCCTAAGTCAATTAACCTAATTAGCTAACTTCCCTAGGTCTTATATTAAAGTCCCTATTTCAATTAATCAATTGGTGAAGAAATTAGCCAAGTGATTCACTCAAAATATCCATTCAATAGCCATGGTCAAAACAATAATATGAGCAACTGCAAGATTATGTCAAGCTACTTAGCAACACAAGCATTAACACTACAAAATTATGCAATATTAACACAAGTAATTCACTAATTGAAAAACACAAGATTATGTGCTAAAGAAAGAGTGGCAAAATTTAGTCATGGCTGTCTAAGGAAGAAATTAAATGAAACAATTCTCTCTCTTTACATCAACATCAAATTCAAATTAGAATTTACAAGCTAAGATGATTAAACCCTAGATTAAGAAATCTAACCATCTAGTAAAAAGAGAAGAGGATAGGAAACAAAATAACTTAGCCAATTTGAAGCTCAAGACTCATCCTCCATCTTCATCTCTCTAGGATTCCATCAAAAAAATTAGCCAATTTTCATCATATTCAAGAACCCTAGCGATTGCTTGTGAAGGCTAAACTCCATAGCTCTTGAATGATGGAAATGAGCTTCAATCCTTGTGAAAATGGAAGGGATGGAATGAAAATGAAGAGAGGAGAAGAATGGTATGAGCTTCGTGGAGGTTTGGTGGCCGAAAATGGAGGTTAGAGTGCTGGAAAATGAAGAACACTATGAACATGAGAGAGAAAATGTGGAAGATGAATGAATGGGTGAATGAATCTCATGTTGGGAGCTAAATGGCATGCTTATTCTGTTTTGGCACAGCTAAAACTTAATTAAAAAAAAGGAAAAGAAATTAAAATGGAAATGGGAGCCTTGTCACACTTGCAAGGTGGCAACCTCCCATTGGTTTGTAGATGATTCTAATGTGTGTATAATTTCTCATGTGTCATCCATATCATTTAAGCTGATTTAATATCCCAAAAATAGCATAAATCATGTGCAAATTCTCAGCCATTGACCTCAAGAAGTGTTGACTTCAATTGCCCAATTGATATACAAGTCACATGTCATCTATGTCATATAAATCACATAATTCAATTAAATGGCATATGATATAATAAAATTTAATTA